CCCCAAAACCCCAAAACCCCAAAACCCCTAGTTACTAAAATTGAAGCGAAATTAGAACTAATAAATTTATAATTATAATTAGTGTTAAAATCAGCAAAACAAACTTAAAATGATTTAGCAAATACCTGAATAATAACATTCCCAATCTCTTCAAGATTCTATCAAATCTATTAATCAATGTAATTTATTAATACTTTACTTAATTTCTACAGAAGACTCGATTGAATAAATCTAACTAGATAAAAGCTCAAGTCTTATAGATAGCCTCCAAGATTAGAACTGTAATAATAGCGCCTAAAAATCTCTCAATGAAAAATGTAAAAATTATCTTATATAATTTTATAGAAAATAACCAATTTACTAGTCTAAAAAATGCAACCTCTAACAAGTTTGTATAATGTGAAATCAATCATTGGGTTGAACCTAAAATCTAAAATTCCTAGATTGTCATTGATTGCTAAAGACTTTTATTTAATCACATTAATCAATGTGAAAGTTAACTAATTCGGTAAAATAGAATCATCTAAAAGCAAGCAAAAGAATTATAATCCTTAAAATAGCAAAGAGAGTTTGATGAAAAACAATTTACCCTGCAAAAATAACTAAATATCAAAATGAAAAATAAAATTTAGAAATTCAAGTAAAGTGAAAAAACGCTAAAGGAAGAAAATATTTTCTTAAAAAATAAAATTCAAGAATAGATCTAGTTAAAATCTGAAATCTTATCCCAGGAGAAGTAGAAATATGATATTCTAGGAGATAAAATGCTTTATCATACTGAGCAATTGGAAAAATCACTGTAATTTATATTTGAGCATTACAAAGAAAAACATGGAGAGGATGATGCTAATAGGATATAAAACACCCCTACTGATATTCTAGACAATGAAGATTTAGTTTAGAGAATAAATTCACATTCTATGAATAAAGTAAAGGAGAAAATTCAACACATGGATAGACTCAGCTTTGTATAAAAGAAAGGGTTAGATCTTCTCTCATACCTTATTGGATCATTGAAAATTTTCTAAATATTTTTTTTAATTATTTAATGATCAAATTATGATAATTTTAATCTTCAAACTTATGATTATCATGATGTTACTTCTGCTGCTATTTATTGATTGATGGGGTTTTGGGGTTTTGGGG